TTTAGACCTGGTTTAGTCCTGGTTTAGTCCTGGTTTATTCCTGGATTTAGTCCTGGTTTATTCCTGGATTTAGTGCTGGTTTAGTCCTGGTTTTAGTCTTGATTTAGTCCTGGTTTTAGTCCTGGTTTAGTCCTGGTTTTAGTCTTGATTTAGACCTGGTTTAGTCCTGGATTTAGTGCTGGTTTAGTCCTGGTTTTAGTCTTGATTTAGTCCTGGTTTTAGTCCTGGTTTAGTCCTGGTTTTAGTCCTGGTTTAGTCCTGGTTTAGTCCTGGTTTAGTCCTGGTTTTTAGTCCTGGTTTAGTCCTGGTTTTAGTCCTGGTTTAGTCCTGGTTTAGTCCTGGTTTAGTCCTGGTTTTAGTCCTGGTTTAGTCCTGGTTTTAGTCCTGGTTTTAGTCCTGGTTTTAGTCCTTGGTTTAGTCCTGGTTTTAGTCCAGGTTTTAGTCCTGGTTTAGTCCTGGATTTAGTCCTGGTTTAGTCCTGGTTTTAGTCCTGGTTTAGTCCTGGTTTAGTCCTGGTTTAGTCCTGGTTTTAGTCTTGGTTTAGTCCTGGTTTAGTCGTAGTTTATTCCTGGTTTAGTCCTGGTTTTAGTCCTGGTTTAGTCCTGGTTTAGTCCTGGTTTAGCCCAAAATGTGAAAACAGGAACATACCACCGTGCAATCCATTATTTTCAACAAAGTAACTCATGGAAACAGTAACTGATCACATTCTTAACCGATACACGAGAGAGAGAAAGAGAGCCCCCTATGGAATCCCACCAAGATAACATCCCCCACAGCGCACGGTGAACTGAGCGCGCCCAGATCGAAGCGCTCTCCGTGTACAGAGCAGCGTAATTAAAAAGATACGGCATCAGGTAACCCACGATTCACAGGGGAACCAGACCGAACGTTGAATTCTATACCTCGGACACATTAGCATTTTAATTCTCCTGTACAAGCATGTTTTCTTTTTTTCTACGGCCTTTTCAATTTCGATTTTCATTAGCAAGTGTGTGACGAGATAAATACTGACCTTCACAGACCTGGAATCTGGTGGTAATAATACGAAATAATACGAACAGCAAATGAACGGATGTATGGGCAGGTTCCGTAAAGGTTACAATGAGAAACCACTATCAGGGTACACAGAACGAGAGTAATTATAACATGGTGGGATTGTCTTATATTCGGAATATTCGGTATCATCATTTGTAAAGAAATCTTGGTTTTAAATGTGCTTTGTGTCACTTTTCTGGTGGAGTGTCCATCAGACGCTTTTCTCCATGGAGATACTTTCAGTTCAAACTAGGGCTGAGCGATATAGAGCAAAAAAATACCTCGATATATTTTTGCTACATCTCGATATACGATGTATATCTCGATATCTGTACAGGAAAAATATCCTCCCAAAACTACTGCACAAACAAATATGCCAAATTCCATTTTTTATTGAAGTGCGAGAGGTCGGCAGTTCATGTAGGAACAAAGTGCTTCTGTCACATTTAAGATTACAAAAAAACCCTGATTACATAAATAATAATTTAACTGTAAAATAAAAGAAATAATACATATTTCCTTCTTTTCATTCATAAATAAAACAACTCAACTCAAGCTCATCTTTACATTAAATCTGTAACCGTATGATAACCATGAGTTCCTTTAAAAGAAGAAGCTCGGGAGGTTCATTATTTGAACAGATCCATGTTCCTCACCAGTGTGAGGAGCTCTGAGGTTTAATCCCACAATCCACTGCAGATCAAACCCAACGTTTCCAAACACTGTTGTACTAGTGACACTGCAGCAGATTATTCATTCAAATTTTCTGCGTGAATAAACTTTACATTATTAAACTTTACAACATATAAACATAACGACTCTAGAGCCACATCAGCCTGTTTGACATTATCATGTGTTTAATGCAGTTTTGTCACTTGTGTTTACATTTTACAGAAATGAAACTTAAAAGAGCATGGCTCTTTTGCATAAACAGCTCACTCCTCCTGCTGCTGCTAATGCAGTTCAGCTTCTTTTGGAAGTTCACGGTGGTAGTGAGGAGTGAACGAGACACAAGCAGCAAAATCAGGGAGGAGGGGGCGACGACAGAGAAGACAAACAAGTGAAGCAGCGAAATCAGAACTGAATATAAACATTATATCATATATACGATATGTCAGAATCCATATCAAGTTTAAAAAATATCTCCATATATTAAAAATATCAAGATATCACCCACCCCTAATTGAAACTATACTCTGGAACATTCTTCACAGAGATATATATGTTTTATGTCATACTGTACTCCTACTACTGCTATTACTACTACTGCTACTGCTACTACTACTACTACTACTGCTACTACTACTACTACTACTACTGCTACTACTACTTCTACTACTACTTTTAATACTATTTCTACTTCTACTACTACTACTACTACTGCTGCTACTACTACTTCTAGTATTACTACCACTATTACTATTGCTACTACTGCTACTTCTACTACTACAACTGATGATGCTACTACTGCTACTACTATTACTAGTACTAATACTACTATTAGTATTAATACTGCTATTAGTACTTGAACATCAGCCTCTGGAGTGAAATCACAGCTCAGTGTGTGGGGCCTGTTGTTTACATGGAGTTGGGAGCGGTCTATTTACTGGACACAGTCACGTTTAGGTTTACAGTGAAGTATGGATGCTCAGAAAGTACTGCACACAATATTTCAGAGTAGAATACTGTGCTCTTGTACTTTTGGGAGTGATTTTTTTTTTTCAGCTGTTCATAACTATAATAAGTAAAAGTACATGAAGGGGCACATATGACACTATTCCCTGTGTTTTTGAGGATTTTCAATGATACAGGAGCTTTAAAAAGAACCCAAGTTACTCATGTATGAAAAAGACAAAATGCACGTCTCCTCTCCTGCGTCCTCTCCCCTCGTCTCTCTGGGTTATATATAGTCTGTGGATTACGGGGGTGTCTTTGTTTCGTTCACTGTAACCTCCCTCCTGATTTCGTGCTCGACAGTCAAATGCCACACCAAACGGGCCCTTTGTAGCTCCACGTTTTCTTTCTCATTCTCTCCATCCCAGCCCTAAGCTCTTCGGACTCTCTCTGACCTCTTTTTCCCTCTGTTCTTCCCTCCGTTCCCCTCCTCCTCCTCCTCCTCCTCCTGCTCTTCGGCGTTGGGTTTGTCCTTATCTCGCTTGTGTCACGGTTGGGTTGTAATGGTCTACACTGTGCTGCTGTGTGAATATTCTGTCAGCGTGAAAAACAAGACATTTATTTAGAGAAGACATGTTGTGTTTTTGTCTGCTGTGTGTGTCACTGTAATCTTTGTCACACGTGGATTATTATTTCAGAATTTAAACATTCTAAACATTCACTATATTGGCCCATATATATCATAAGATATCTTTAGTGATCTAATATATGAAATACAGCTGAGTTAAATTGTGGTGTTGTGGGCAAGATTCAACCTCCAGTACACTGATGTTACTGAATGAAGAATATTTGTGTATAAGTACTCACACATCATTGAGCCTCATTCATGAACAGTGTTGGGAGTAACGCGTTATGAAAGTAACGAATTACAGTAATGCATTACTTTTTGCTGTAACGCAGTAATGTAAGGCATTACAGGGGAAAAAATAGTAATATTTTACTCGGTACAAATGTGAGTAACGCGCGTTACAGTGGTTTTTTTTTTAACCTGGATTGAAGTGGTAACCGCGGGCGAAAGGACTGACAAAGAACTCCACGCTGTTTAGACCTGGTTTAGACCTGGGTCAGTTCTGGTTTAGACCTGGTTTACACTCGTCCCGCCCTCTATCGCAGTTCACTTTTCGCTGTCTCGCAGATTTTTTTATTTTTATTTTTTTTTGTGCAATTTTGCATGCCCTGTTTTTTTTTTTTTACATTGTATGAATGCGTTTTACATTGTATGAATGCGTATTGCGTTCCTCCCGCTGCGTCCTGACTGGCCAAGGGACTCCTGTCTCCTGTACAGTACAGTACAGAATGTGTTCAGCTGCCAAATTTAAATACATGTTCAATCTCTAGCAGTGTGATTCTGAAGTGCTGTACGGTTGCAAGTTTTCTCCCCGACGAAACCCACAACGTCGACGAAACGTTCTGCACCGAAAGGCTCCTGCACTCGCACCCAAAAGACAGAGGAAGATGCAAACCATCACACAAAAAAGTTGGACTTCTGGACACGCTGAAGGAAGGTAGAAGTTACGCGCTGTAACAGACTCTTGCACGGCTCGAGTACCTGCAAATAGTTGCTGAAATCAGGGCCGCGAGCCCGAGCATCAGGGTGACAGCCGCTCTTACCTCCGTGAGGTGCGGAGCAGAGCCGCTCCTTTCTCCTGCGGTCACCTTCAAGACCGTCCTGACAGTGAGTCCTGTTTTAGTCCTAGTTCACTTCTGGTTTAGTCCTGGTTCAGCTCTGGTTTAGTCCTGGTTTAGATCTGGTTTAGTCCTGGTTCAGTCCATATACAGCGCAAAAGTTATTTTGGTGAGAGTAACTTAAAGTAATGCAATAGTAATGTAATGCCTTACATTTTAAATGCAGTAATATTGTAATGTAACGAATTACTTTTAAATGACAGTAATAGGTAATAAATAACGCATTACAGTTTCAAAGTAACTTGCCCAACAGTGTTCATGAAACGAACATTTTTGGCATTTTCTTAACTGAAAATTTTAATGCACAGTCAGCACTCGTAAGAACAAAAATTCTACTGATTTAGAATATTATTACTCTGATAATGTAACAAAACATTCAAATTTCTCCATGATTGTAAGTTATATATATATATATTTTTAAATTATTTCTTATAAACATGTGACTGTGTGATCCAGTAACATGTCTGAGTTGTTTTCTAGAGTCTGTGTGTGTTGAGTCTAACAGACTTTCTCCAGGAGCAGTGAGCCTCAGTCTGTCCCAGCCCCAGTGTCTCCATGGGCGTCTGTCACAGCCCTGAACCTGAACACCACACTGGACTCAACACCAACATCATCACCCCCCTGACCCCCCATCACCCACAATCACCCCTGTGACCCCCCATGACCAGAGCACACTCTGATGCACCCCCACTCCTCACCCCTCCCTCACTGCAGATGTGGAAAGAGCTAAAACTGTGATCTTCAACGTTTTTCAGGCCAGGGAGCCCCAAACTGATGAGGAGCTGGAGCAGGGACCCCCAACTATATATATGACATACAATTGTGTTTTATAATCAATTGGACCTAGTGTGGTGTTATGTATGAACAGAGCTACTCTGTTATTGTGCATATTCCATCGTATACCACAACAGTACGTATGTGTTCCATCAAAGTCACTAAACAAGTCCAGACTTATCCTGAATTCCTGAGCTCAATCTAGCTCCATCTCCATCACAGACAATTGTCTCACAGTGTGACTTTTTAATGATATGACTAAACAAGAGAGGAGCCACAGTGCACACGGACAAGAGTTTGATTTGGGCTACGGAACTTTTCTGGTCATTCTGATCCACCACAGCTGCTCCTATCAATGTGGAGGAGCAGCGGCTCTACTCCGAGCTCCTCCTGTGTGACTGAGCTCCTCACTCTTTCTCTAAGGGAGCGCCCAGACACCCTGCAGAGGAAACTCATTTCAAAACTGTAACTCATATTTGCAAGTTAAAGGAACTATGCAAATGTTATTGTATTCAAACAAGATGAACAAGTAAAAAACACAATCTGGATGTGAAAAGCAACGCTCTGTGTCTTTTCTTATATATTCTCTTATATTTTTCAGATTGCTTGATTGGGGCCCGTAACATAAACCCATTTTTTATTTTATCATTTCTGTAGCCGTGTGTGTGCGTGTGACTTTTACTTCCTGTTGTTTCGATCGTTTGCTCTGTCCTCATGTGTCCCACGTGTGTGTCGTTTATCTGTGTGCGTTTACACTCTGGGCACATCTCATTTCTCTTCCCTCGCTTCCTTCTCCTCGATTCCTCGATTCTGCAGGAGTTGGGTGAGGAAGTCCCACCCACAGAGGAGACACAGCGAGGAGAGACGATCTAAACTCCTCCATGAGACCAGTAAAGTTTGATTCTTTTCTCTGGTGTCTGCTCCTGAAGCCTCCCTCATGTTTACTCCTACATTCCTTCTGTGGTTTTCTTTGGGACACAACTAATATGACACATTTGACTGACAGCTGAAAAATTGAGAATTGAGGAGAGCAATCGAGGAGAAGGAAGCGAGGAAAGAGAAATGAAATGCAGCCCATGTGTTGTTCTCTGCTCTGTCGGTTCATTTGTAGGCGTCATGTGTTGTTAGTAGCTATTTTTGGATTATTGGTTTTGTTACTTCAGATTTTTTTTACTTCTGAAGTTTTAATTAAACAACTTTGTGAGTGCAGTCCTGCATTTTGGCTCCTTTTTGCTCTAAAACTCAATTCTGAAGTTGTATGTAATGTTTTTTATATATCCTAGAAATGTTTTATGCAAGCCTTAGTCCACATTTGTTGCCTGTAATCTAAAGATTTCAGTTTCAGATTTGTGTGAGTGGAACATTGTGTATGCCGGCTCTCTCATTAGTCATAAGTGTGTTGTACAAAAAAAGGCCCAGACTGTAGTCCTCCTAATGAGCGTACAGTCACAGTGTTAGGTCAGACAGAGAGCTGAGGAGGGAGGAGACGAGGAGCTAGGAGGCAGGCTGAGGGCGTAGGAGGTGAGGTGAGGACACTAGACGGACAGTCCAGACAGTGGAGTGAAGTGGAGCCGGTGACAATAACAGCGGACATGCCCAGCACTAATCTATGTTTGCGCTGGTTGCCATGGCGATGAGGGACGGGGGACTTAAGGACAGAGACGCCGTCCAAATCTAAATCAGCAAGTATACAGTCATGCAAAAGTACATTTACTGCAACGTTTTAATGAGATTGTGCTTCTCAGAGGAGTTTTCAGACCCCATCATTTTACTCACAGGTGGATAATACTCACTTACTTCTAGAGATATTTACTTTACTTTATTTGACAGTTTGACAGCGCTGTCTGATATCTTCGCTCTGATTGGTTATTTGTGTGGGCGTGGTTTATCTGCGTCCTCACCGGTGCAGAGCAAGAAAAAAAAAGGATGGTTTTAAGTCACAGCTGGCAGAAATGGTGAAATGGGAAGAATTTGACGGAGGGAGATCGCCGATATTTTAGGCTCGGATGAAAATCAGTGTAAAAATTCTAGCATAATCTCTGTGGCAAGTCTGCGAAAGCCAAAAGTGGGTCACCAAACAAAAAACAAAAAAAAAGAGCGGTCAGGCTGGAGGACGAAAAGAAATCCCCTCGCTATTAGAGCTGAGTATCATTCAGAAGTTGCCGATACGATACATACCTCGACACACAGGCCACCATACCATACATACCTCGAAACAATCAGCTTTCGGTTCAAAAATATTTGGTACAATATATTTCAAATCAATTTGATACGGTTTAAAAAATAAAGAAATAAATAAAGGGTAAATGATGTATGTGATACTAAAAGTCTTTGTTAAACCACTTCTTGTGCAAAATTCATATGAAACACAAACATGTGAATCATCCAAACAGTGAAAATGTTAAATGTGTCGCATAAACGAGTTTCTTTCCTCTAAACAAACAACAAAACTGCAGCTGTAACAAAATAATGTAGTAAAATAAACCAAAAAATACTCTTGGCGATATATCGATACAGCAGCCCATGGTATCGATACTGTATCATCACATTAAACAATACGATATATCGATTTTTCAATATTTTTGCACAACCCTACTCGCTATATAAACACAAACACAGGGAAACATCCACCAGTGTGACTCCTGTTCCAAGTCAAACAGAGGTAAGATATTAATACTTGGTAGCGGGGTAGAGCTGGGGTGGGGGGCAGAGCGAGGGGGCGGGGCAGAGCGAGGGGGCGAGGGGGGGCAGAGCGAGGGGGTGGGGCAGAGCGAGCAGTTCAGCAGCAGAACATCTTTTGAACTATAAAATGTCAGAGCCCAAACAAACTTTGTTCTTGTTCTTATTATGTCAAGAACAAAGTTCTTATGTTCTGATGAAGTATGAATAGGCCTTAAATCTACAAGTGACAAAAGCTTTTAGAGGTTAGACTTCACTAAAACATAGATAACAAAAATCTTGCCTAGTTTTGTACGTAAATTTTAAGTTTGCTATTTTACTTCCTGCAGCAGATGTGGCAGACACAGAGGTACTTCCATAATTATTACCTAGCAACCATAATGTAAACAAAGACAAAAACCTGTCTAAATTGCACAGAGACTAATAAAAATAAATGATAACACCTTTACTTTGTTAAATGAAGGTTTCATCTGTCAGACAACAGCCTTCCTTGTGACTAAACAGTCTCAGCATTTTCATCTTTTTTGTCTTTAAGAGGGGTTATGATGCCAAATGGACTTTTTTGGAGCTTTCACGTTATAATGTTCTCTCATCAAAAACATTCCTCAAGAGGTTTGAAAGTCATCCATATATGAGTAATCTAGTGATCTCTTCTGAGCCCAATTCAAACCCTCCTTATGGTTAGGTGTAAGATTCTGTACAAGGCTCCGCCCACAAACCTACACTATCACCCATGCTCAGACAATTCTCCATAAACATACAAAAAACATGATACAAAACTGTACACCACAACTTCACAAACCTGATGTGATGTGCAGTAGTTTCATTAAAGGGACACACGCTGACTGTGCTGTGATAGTGCTCAGAAGGGGGAGTGACTTAACTTAGCAGGGAGGAAAGCAAGGAACGTGAAGATGTAAATTTGTGACGTGTTAGTGGTGAAAACCCCACAGAAGTCAAATAGCCCGTCTTTAATGACGTAAGTAGAAGAATTCAGTTTCAGAACTCAGTGCTGCTTCCTGTATTTCTGTATTTTTAAACTTGTATAACGCACGTAACCACAGTCCTATTATGTCCAGCACTGTAAAGGCTAAACTCATCCAGCTCATGTGCTAAACTAACAGTCAAAAAAAAAAAAAGTTAGCATTTGAATATATGAAATTATTTCCACTATTTCCACATGACCTTTAGATTCCAGCCAGGAGTTATTAATATCATCTTAATATACACGAATATGCAGAGTATTTGACCTTATGAATCTTCTTGTAATGATACATCATACAGCGTACGTCTGGTAACATTAGATAACAACAGCACTTTCATTAGAATATGTATTATTGTTTTACAAATAATATATTTGTGTTAAAACAACATATGTAACATGTTTTATGTTTCACTTTTGTTTAGGCTAAAACTCCTGGTCAAAGCCTGATCTCCCAGGCTGAGCAGGACTGAACTTGGATGGAAACCACTGGGAACACCAAGTGCCACAGTGTGCCGCCACTGTCAACACACTGCTGTTATGTCCTTAGGCAAGACACACAATGCCTAGTTTGAATGTGGCGTGCGTGCTTGCGTGCATGTGTGTGTGTGTGTGTGTGTGTGTTTGTTGATAGTGGTTGGAGGATGGTCAGTCTGCCCCAGGTGTGGATTATGAGTCCTACATGAGATGAAGAAGGTTCTGTAAAGCTCTTTGAGCGTCTTGAAAGGTGCTACATCAATGACAATGATGAAGTATTGATTAAACAAGTGACTGACACTGTGTAACAAAATATAACGTCTTCTGAATGGAGAAGTAATCTAATAATTACATCTAAGATGATAGAGTGTACTATAGAAATACTAGAGTGTACTATAGAAATACTAGAGTGTACTATAGAAATACTAGAGTGTACTATAGAAATACTAGAGTGTACTATAGAAATACTAGAGTGTACTATAGAAATACTAGAGTGTACTATAGAAATACTAGAGTGTACTATAGAAATACTAGAGTGTACTATAGAAATACTAGAGTGTACTATAGAAATACTAGAGTGTACTATAGAAATACTAGAGTGTACTATAGAAATACTAGAGTGTACTATAGAAATACTAGAGTGTACTATAGAAATACTAGAGTGTACTACTAGAGTGTACCACAGAAATACTAGAGTGTACTATAGAAA